GAATCATCCTTGTAATTCTATGCATCAAATATTCCTTCTTTTATTTTTGAGTAGTATTTCACTGCATGGACCTACCAAAATTTGTTCATCTTTTCACTACTAGGTGGACATTAATTTATTTCTAGCTTTTGTTTTGTTTTGTTTTATTTTTTGAGAATGGGTCTCACTATGTAGTTCGGGCTGGCCCTGAACTCACTATATAGCCCATATAGTACTAACTCCTTGAGGTTCTTTTTTTTATTAGCATATATTAGTTATATAGAATGACGGGTTTCATTTTGGCATATTAGCACATGCATATAACATACTTTGTTGTTTCAAGCTATATTTCTCTAAAGACAAATGGAGTTGAGCATTTTTTATTTGCTTATTTTTGTCTCTGGTGAAATGTCTATTCAAATCTTTTATGTTTTTTTTTTTAAACTGAGTTGTCTGTTAATGTGTTGCAAGACATTTGTATATTATAGATACAAGTACTTTGTCAGATACGTGTTTCACAAACATTTCTTCTCAGTCTGTGGATTGTCTTTTCATTTTATCAACAGCGTTTTTTTTTTTTGTTTTGTTTTGTTTTTTTGAGACAGGGTCTCACTACGTAGTTGAGACTGACCTGGAACTCACTATGTAGCCCAGGCTGGTCTTGAACTCACAGCGATCCACCTGCCTCAGCCTCCCGAGTGCTGGGATTACAGGCGTGAGCCATCATGCCTGGCTATCAACAGCATTTTTAAAAGGGCACATTCAAAATATTTAAGGAAGCCCAGTTTACTGACATTTTTATCTAAGAAAGACTTGCTTAACTAAAATTCTCTCCGATTATTATTACCTGCATTCTTCCATATGCTTCATTTATTTATATGATCAAAAATTGATTTTTGTGTTTGGTATAATATTTAATTCAAAGGTCTTTTTTCATAAATGTCTAATCATTGCAACATCATTGAGAAGACTATGCTGTCTCTATTGAGATAGTTGAAACTTTTGCTAAAAATTATATATATCTACAGATATATTTTATTCTAGATTCCTCTTTTTGTTCTATGGATTTGTATGACCATCCTCATGTCCATATCACAGCTTTGATTACTATCATTTCTTTTTTATTTGTTTGTTTTTTGAGACAGGGTCTCACTGTGTAGTTGACGCTGACCTGGAACTCACTGTGCAGCCCAGGCTGGTCTCAAAATCACAGTGATCCTCCTGTCTCAGCCTCCTGAGTGCTGGGATTACAGGCGAGTGCCACCACGCCCAGCTGGATTACTATAGTTTCAAAGGAGTGTTAAAGTCAGATGGTGTGAGCCTTCCAACTTTGTTCATATTTTCTTTTTTAAAAATTAATTTTATCGGTACACGTTAGAGATATATAATGGTAACATTCATCCTAAGTACCTGTCCATAACATATCCTGATTTTTTCTTTTTTCTCCTACCCCCTCCTTAATCCCTTTCCCCCCTCACTTACAAAAGCTTGATTTCTATATTTTCTTTGCCCTTCCTTCCTTTTCTCCTCCCACCTCCCTTGTTCTCCTTTCCATTTGAATACTTTTCCCTTCTCAATATCTGTTACACATTTTGCTCCTTATTTACCCTTTCAGTTTCTCACACCAGAGTAACCTAGACTTTTTTCTCTTGACTCAAATTTTATTTTTCTAGCTTTACTGAAGTATGAATTAAAAATCATATATATTATAGGTGTGCAAAATATTGCTTTGATAAAAACAACCTTGTTTATCTCATCAGGATCCTGCAGTTTCCTGCATGTAGATTTTCCACATATTTATTGGACTTATCCACAAGAATTTTACGGGTTTGATGTATTATAAAGGGCACTTAAATTTTAAAAATTCAACAAATTGTTTCTTGTAAAGATGAAGTTTATATGTAATAAGTGATGGAATAAGAATTAGATCTCAGATTAAAACAATCATGTCTTTAGCCTGGAAACTCACTAAGGCCTTTAGTACTGGTTTCTCATGTTATTTTTTTTAAAAGAGATGCTAGCCATTGGAATTGGAATTAGAATGCCTGATAGCTTTCCCTTTACTTGACTTTCATTTATCTCTTTGGAGAGTTGTTTGTTAACTAACTGATGTTTTCTTTTCACTGTAGCTGTTGCAGTAACAATAGAATCCATCACTTCTGTGGAAGAGCAGAAACCAGCAGGTACATATGTGTATCTTTTTTCAATGTGCATCGAAACCTTATATCCTATGCATTGATTGAGGTTTACAGAACACATCATTTTTCTAGAACTATGAGCAAAACTAGACATTTAATAGCAAGTATTACTAGAAACCCCCAGTCCCTGCCAGGATTCTTTAGATAGTGAAGTAAAGATGTTTCTGAAAGTAAGATTCTAATAATGCTAGTTTAACAGGATACTTAGGCCAGTTGTACATTCACACAGGCATAGATCACACACATGTGGATTCTGTGGTCCTGTGACTTTAGAAAAATGCATTAAACACAGTAGACAAGTCTCTTTGCTACAGATATCTAGGAGTCTTTATGTACACCCAATCCTCAAAATGCTCACTAGAAATCTCAAGATGTCAGGCTTATGCGATACATTTGACCCAAATTCCCTTTTCTTCGTGTGCCATCTCTTGGGAAGTCTTTTGCATAACATGAATATGAAGAGTATTGAAATCCAGATATTTGGAACAAATGTATCATAGCTACAAAAGTATTCCAGTCAAATTCAAATACATATTACCTCACGTCTCCGAGTGTCTGAAGTCATGGCTGCCACCCTCCAATTCCAGAGTTTCCTGAAAGAAGCTCTTTTTATACCTTCCTGTCCAAGTGTTTCCCTTGGAAGAAGGCACATCTGCATTTTTACCCTTCTTGCTGACATCTCTCAAAATCCACAGTGACTTGATACTTGTTCCAGCTTCTCAGAGCCTAAGTTACAAGCCTTACCTGCAAGCATTCTTTATTTCCTTCTTTACAGTCAAGAAATGTTTTTGAATGAATGATGGCACACGACATTACTAACTTATAGAAATAGCTCTTATTCCCTCAGTTTTTCTTATGGATCTTATCTCCAAGTTTTTTTCTATTTTGTCTAGCTTACTGTATCTACTGAGCAAAGGATTCAGGAAAAGTTGACTACAAATTAAATGAATGATTAAAAAGTTAAAAACCATCTTGTTTGATGGTAATGATGGTGACCAATCCAGAATAATCAAAAGAAAACAGAGCATGTTCGAAGGGTACTGGGCCTTTGAATGTGCAGAGCGTTCACTTAACTTTTGTCACCCTGCCGACTGATTGTGACCTAGGTTTGTGTTTGTTATAGCTGACATCTTTGCAGAGCCGTCACTGATAACAATCCCTGAGCCCTGGACTGTTCCATCCACAGGTACAGAAGTAGGTCCTGAGCTATCAAGGGCTGATGGACAGCAGTGAGAGAGGTGCTTTCCAAGCTGGGGCAACTGAGTAGAAAACAATCCATGTGCCCGCTGGGAGACTTAGGGAAGTTTTCTTAACCCTGTCAAGTCTCAGTTTCTTTATCTACAAAATGGGAGCCCACCCCTGCTATAAAGATTAAGGAAGAAATATGAAAGTTAGTGGCCCTCGGGGTCTCTAGCATTTCACTCATAGACACAAACTGTTCCTGTCCTCAGCCTCCTTCACGTGGTAAAGCCATGAGAAAAGATTTTCGTGATTCCAAAGGGACCAAGGCGCTCCAAGGCTATGCTGGATAACAGGATATCTATGTGGCTATGATTTGCCTAGCACAGTCTAGCTTACTGTTTCATTGGCTATGTTGAAAAGGGAATCATATGTGCATAAAATGTTCTTATTTGGAGAACCCTAGGAGTTCTGAAGTTTCTAAAGGCTTTCATCATTTTGAGTGGAGGATTTAGCAAAGTCCATTTTCATTTGAAGTTGCAAATTACCCTGGCCATTCTGAACGTGTGAGTGCCTCAGAGCTGTGTGATCTTACATGTTTGTAAAATGAGAAGGTGCCCAACTAGGAATTTAAAAGAATAAAGGAAACCGTTCAGAGGCTGGAGCATCCTTCCTTAATATCCCTCCTCTTGGGTCGCCCCCCAGGAGTCTGGATGGAGGTGAGGCTGCTGAATGGCATAGGGAGATGTTCAGGCCGCGTGGAGATCCTTGTCCAGGGAACATGGGGGACAGTGTGTGATGACCTCTGGGACCTGGCCGAGGCCACTGTCGTGTGCCACCAGCTGCAGTGTGGCCAGGCAGTGGCAGCCTCCTCAGGGGCTCACTCTGGAGCAGGCTCCAGGAAAATCCTGCTGGATGGTGTGCAGTGTGTGGGCAGTGAGAGCCACCTGGGCCAGTGCATGCATGGGAGCCAGGCTGGACACAAGTGTAGGCACCTGGAGGATGCAGGAGTCATCTGTGCAGGTGAGGGGCCATTGCCTTCCAGGGTGTCACTGCTTTGTGCTCCCTGGCAACTTTGGTCCAAGCTCACAACAGTCGTTAGACAGTTATAGGACAGTTAAAATAAGCCCACCAACCTACTCAGTTGCTCTTTCAACCCCCAAGTGCCAAAGATCCACCAAGCCCTAGCCCATCTGCAGGGTCTGAAGCTGTGTCCACAGGGTACTCGCTCATAGGTGGGTCACCTGTGCTTGCTGTGTTTGCTTATAACTCTGTTCACTGTGCAGAAGACACTTCCTCAATCTGGGGCAGACACCGTGAAGAACAGAAGAGTGGCCCAAGTCCTTGTTATGAGCAAGGGCCATTGATTGATAAGAGTAAAAAAGATAGGAGATTTTCCAAAAGGGACATTTTTTCCAGCACCTGAAATTCATCATTATGGAGTAGGTCTTTTCCTAGCATATCCACAGGGCAGGAGATAGGGTGTAGGAGGAGTTGAATGGCACCTAAGACAAGAAGATATTGGCCTGGTTGTTTGCCAGTTTAACAGATATCAACAAGGTGAGCTCTCTCAAATGGATGCTCCTAGATCCCAGAGGAAGGGAAGGTACAGAGCTCCGAGGGGAGGCATAGCGTGGACATGGATCCTCCATATCTGGCCGGTGCCCAGACTCCAGCCAGTGGCCACAGCACAGGCACAACACTGAAAGTTAAGACCGGGTCTGTTGCACAATATGTCACCCACTAAAAATGAGACTACAAATCAATTCTCCACGCTGAACAGTGTGACACATGCTTGCTATGTGACATTTTAAGATCTAATCTGGTCTGATCAATCCCATAATGGTACAAACAGCAAATGAGGTTGTTTGTTTAGAGTGATGCTTTATGCAGCAAAATGAGAACCGAGAGCAGCTGGGAGGTGTTCTGGACAGCTCGCACTGTTTAGGTAGTGCCTAGTCTAGATAAATTTGCCTAGAGATAAAATGCTGAGAGGAAGCCTGAGGAGTTCAGTCCCTTATGTGAGCACCATGCCTGCATGACTTCACGCTGATGGTCGTTTCCCAGAAGGGAACAAGAAGAAGACACTGCAGGAAGGCGGGCGTGCAAGCGTTCTGAGATGGAAAATATACAGAGTGTAGAGAATATTCCAAAACCCCACTTTAGAGACTGAAAAACTCAAAAGCAGGGGGAAATGAAGTCTTGTCCGCATACTGCAGTGGGGAAACCTGATAGAATATTCTAATCTGGCTGTTCAGAGTGCTGCCATTGCAAATACCTTTTCCTAAGTGTGGTAAGAAAGCTCCTGGCTGAGTGATGTCCCTGTTTGTTTCTGTTTGCAGGTGACAGCCCCTCAGCTCCCACATCCTCAACAGGCACCCCCAGTTTTCACTCCACACTCACCCCAGCAGGTAATGCCTTCCTGTGACTACATTGGAGCTGTGCAAAGTGAGCACCTACTATGTGCCTTGTATAGTGTTGAGTGCCTTTATTACATTGTTATTTTGCAGTAGCCTCAAAGGAACTTATTATTTTCAACATGTCACAAGTGAATTAACAGAGTCTCAGAGATGGCAGATGGGAAGGTGGCATGAGTTAGGAATCTAGAATCACACAACTAGTGGGTGGCAAAGGCTGGATCCACCCAGGCCTGTGTGGCTAGAGATCCTTGATTTTACTAGGTGTTTCCTGGTGACATGGATCCGAGCTACCTCATGGATGAGAGAAGGAAATTAATTAAAGAATTAATTGCTCATGTCAAGACTATTTGAGGAAATTACAAATGTTGAAATTAAATTATTATAAGCTACCTAGAAGATTTATTGTAACACAAGATACAAAAGATAAAATGTTAACGGTTCATTTGGAGTTTGCAATTTTCCTTTCACTGCTTCATTTGAGCAAAATTTATCTCAACTGTACCTGGGTCTCATTAGCATATACGATCATTCTGTAACCATTTTTGGAATGCTTACATATTTTATAGTATATGCTTTTATGTTTTATAAATATTTTACAGTACATTCTTTACAACATTGTTGCTAGCCAGATCTGATGTTATTTCCATCTGACAGTGGAGGAAAATGGGATTCAGTTGTAATAAAAGGTGTCATCAGGCCCGAGCTTTGGATTAGGGAAATCCTATCTTCACGCGGGAAGCTCCATTGTCCCTCTAGAATGACTTGCCTAAGGCCCACACCCAAATCATGCCTTGTCACCTCCTAGGATGTCACTGCTTCTGTGTGTCCTCAAACACACTCAACCTGCTTCCTTGGAAGCCATTGAACAGTTTATTATCACCATAATCATTAAAAGATATTTAAAAATTATCAGATGCTGATGGGTCACCAGGCTTCCTCCCCACCGGTGAGCCTGAGGCTGTGGCCTTGGAGCATAAACTCCCAGGTAGGTGAAATCTTGGGGTCATGTGGAGTGGGACAATTGTTTTCTTAAACTATGTTGGCAATTCCTCATCGCATCCAGAGGCACAGTGTTAAGCAGGATCAGGAGGTCAATAGAAATGGAGGGGAGAACTTTGAGAAATGAGATACATCTTCCATCACTTGGAGTTCTTTAAAAATTCTTATTTTGCCCACCAATAATTCTCCTTAAAAAACTCTTATAAGGTCAAACCGATTTATGGACTTAAATAATGGGAGCAATTAGACAAGAGTCACATGCATTTTGTGGGCAAATAAAGGTAAACTATCTCCTGTAGACTGGCCTACCAGGAGCACCAGCAGCAGAAGCAGCAGTAGCAGCAGCACTGGCGTGGCTTTCATGTCATGCACCTGAGAGGGGCTGAAGATGCAAGATGAGGGGAGGCAGGCGAATTCGCAGGAAGAGAAGAGGAGGATGGGGAAACAGCAGTAGGAAGTCAGGGCAGGTCTTCCCTTTGTGTGCTCCTGCCAGGACAGCTGTAATGTTGCTTGACAAAATGGCCAGGAAGGAGAGGCAAGGATGGCATTTGCAGTACATTCTCCCCTGCCCTGAGCCACAGCAGGTGTCCTTCAGCGTGACTGATAGGCAAGGAAGTTCATGTTTTATGCATTAAGGCCCATCCTGCAAATCACTGTGTGGCCCCCAGATTAAAAAGTGAACTTGTCTTCTACCTGCCCTACAGTGAACAGAACACTTTGACCAATTGCTTGGTGGTTAAGCTGAAGGCAGTCTCTGAGTGAGGAATCTTGAGAAATCTCTAGAGGAGAAACTGGCACAAAATCAAAGAAACTCCAATATTGGCTAGGCAGGCCTTTAAGAAATAACGGAGGGGAGGAGGGGGTGAAGGGAGGGCAGAGGTAAGGGGAAAAAATGAGAATCAAGACTTGCCATGTAAAGGTACATGATCCCAACAATGAATGTAACTGTACTGTATCCCTAAAATGTACCAATAAACTCAATAAAATTAAAAAAAAAAAAAGAAATAACGAAACCAGATGCATAGTCTCTCCCATTACTAGAGTTTTCCCTCCTGCTGTGGCTCTGAAGGGCCAGGGGCAGGTGAGTGGGGGGTGTTCATTTGGACATTTACCTGCGAAGGAGAAAAGGCTTGGTAGAAAGTGCTTGACTTTTCCTTTCAAGTACTTCCTGTTTTCACACTTTTCCACTCCTCTGTGGATTTTGGGAGCCTCTGCCCATAAAGGACGTCTTGTTCCCTCTGCTCACAGGTGATGGACTGGCGGCAGCCCCCGACACACCGCAGCCTCCTCGCCTTCCTTCCACATCCACAGCGGCAGGTGAGTCCTGCCTGACGCCTCTGTGGACTTGGAGAGTGAGGAAAGGGTGCTACCTCTCTGCCACAAGCCAAGAAGGTCACAAGCAACACAATTCATAGCAGCAAAACCCTGCAGCAACCATAGGAGAAGGGCTGGTTCTCCCAATTTTGGAGATGAGCACTATGTATAGAAATTTAGGAAGTCCAACTACCTCCATTTCCACAAGTCTGATGTCTGATTTTTATCTCTGCCTTTTTCCTGGAGCTGCTTTTACCTTTGTTTTCTAATTGACACATAATAATTTCAGGTATTTCTGAGATGTAGTACAGTACTTTGACACATGCATGTTATGTAATGATATAGATCACCTCAAGAATTCATCATTTCTTTGTGGTGAGAACACTCAGAAGTCCCTCTTCCGTCTTTTCTGACTTTTATTTTCAGTATTGATTGAACTGTCTCTTAGCTATTTTGAAATACACTTCACATGATTGTTAACAATGGTGACCCCTACCATATAACAGAATTTATTCCTTCCATTTAATTATAAGTTTATGCCCACTGACTAATTTCTTCCCTTGCCCCCTATTTTTCCTTCTTCCCAGTCTTTATTAACCCTCTTTTTTCCTCTTTTCCTGCCTTCTTTTGAGTAACTACTCTCTGTGGTTCCATTTTATTTCTACTGCTGACTTCCTCTTTCTTTGATATTGAATAGTTGAGCTACGGCTTCTAATAGCATCTTCTACATGTATGTGATGAAGTCAACCTTCAAATGGCACTGTATCATGTGCAATGTAAGAACCTTACAATGGTACATTTTCAATCGCTCTCAACCTTTGTGCAATCATTGCAAAACATTGTAATTTATTTAATTATGGGCTCTACAATATTTTGTTATACTTTTACAATTAAACATAAAAAAGTCATTGTACATATGCACACATATATGCATATACACACATTTTTGGGGGGAAGTAATATACTATTAGACTGTCAGGTTTTTTCAATCTTTATATTTTACTGGTACATATTCACAGAACGTAATGATTACATTCCTTGTGGAAAGTCGGTGGCTGTGCATAACATATCTTACTTCTTTTTTCATCTCCTTTCCCTTTCTTCCCTCTCCCTCCGTCTCTTGATCCTCTTCCCATTTACAAAATATCTATCTCCTTATTTCCTGTTATCTATCTTTTATTTTGCTCTTTACATTTCTTATATAAGAGAAACCATGCAATATTTAAGCTTTGTGTCGGATTTATTCTAACACTTTAACATGCCTGGTACACCTCGTTTTTCTGGATTGATCCAAGTTTCTGTCTTGTATTCCTTGGCCTGAAGAATTTACTTTTATATTTCTTACGATCCGATTAGCTGCCAATGAATTATATCAGCTTTCCTTTTTTCCGAAAACAAACACTTAATTCTTCTCCATCTTGGAAAGATGTGTCTGCTGGCTATAACATTTTGAGTTAAGAGGAGCAGAGCAGATACTTGTTTGAAGGGCAGGCTGACTTCCAAGAGGAAAAGGGGCAGAATTATGCAGTGGCTCTCATAAGCTAAAGTGAGGAAGGAATGGGAAAGTGCTAGCACTGCGTGGAAGGGACTGTCAGGAAGGGCAAAGTGTTATCCCTTAACAGTTTGTAATTTAGTGTAAATACTCTCCTTCTCCAATTTTCACACTGACAGGACATGTATCTTCAACCACATTTCCTTTCTCTGAATCTGCTGCCCTGAAACTGATGCTCAGGCCGGAAGGTGAGTCTCTACAGTAAGTTTCTTAGTGCTTGCTCTTGGAGCAGAGAAGAATAAGGGCCAACAATGACAACTCCACCCCCACCCCCACAGGCACACATACCAGGGTCATCACTAGGCACTTCCACGTCATTGTGTCCTCCCTGGCTCTTCTCATCGAGGAAACACCATTGGCAAAGTGATATTTTCTCCTCTCTATTTATGAATACATTGAATCAGGGAGCTCTAATGTAACCAATCTGCTTTGTCTGGAACTGATACATGGGGATGACTCCATTAGCCAGATATATTGAGAAAATGACATGAAGATAGTGACTTTTTAATGTGTTGATATATTGTGAATGCTAACTATCACAATTTGAAATATATCTAATTGTTTTTTAAAGTATTTTTTACTTATATTTTCTGCTTTTTTCTTCTACACACATTACGTTGTGCTTAATGCAAAATGCATCCCTACAAGGATGCCTAGTCTTTTTTAAATTTTCTCATTAGCACATAGCTTTTTATGACTATAATGACATTGAATATTTTGTGCTTTCAATATAGAACGTATCTGTTAGGAAAAAGGAAAAGAAACAAATGTACAAGCTCAACAGGACAGATTTACTTCAGAACAAATCTGAGAGGGACCATTCTGGCACTAGAGACCAGACCAGCAGTTCTCATACAGGCTGTGGGGTCTTTCGTAGGGTCATGAAGATGGAGAGGTTCAGTGAAAGGGGGTTGCGGCCACCTGCCAAGAACAAAGCTTGAGAGAGCACAAGAAGTAATGATTGCCAGGGGACAAGGCTTGGGAAAGCACAGGGAGCGGCTGCTATCAGTAGCAGGGCTGGTAGGTTCCCCAGGTGCAGCTGTGCTCGGAGGGGGCAGGTTAGAGGGCTCTCTGATCAGGATCGTGGCAGTCAGATTCCTTCAGTATTAACACCCATTATTCCTTCTAGTCTCCCTCCCCACAAGTCCTTTCTGTTAGGCAGGGAAAATGTTCTCCCCATTTAACAATGAAGATGTTATGATTGGAATCCATAAAAGTTGCCGTCAGTATGAGATCTCGGGCCAGACAGGCTCTCATTGAGACCCTTTGAGAATGGATCTCTAATTTACCTGACACCAAAAAGATTAAGGGCGAATATTTTTTTTTTTTTTTTTGTTACTGGGGATCAAATTTGGACCTTGTGCTTGAGAGGCAGGCGGCAGCACCAGTGGGTTAAATCCCCTGCCCAAGAGTCCATAAGGTAGCTTTTGGGCTGGGGATTTAGCTCAATGGTTCTGCCATCTGCTTTGCAAGTGCAAGGTCCTGAGTTCAATCCCCCGTACCAAAAAAAAAAAAAAAAAGAAAGAATAAGATCATTTTGTTTGTTTGTTTGTTTAATTCTTTTTGTACTATTAGAGGTAGCACTTTATCAACGTCAGATGTGTTTCCTTTGACTCTAACATTCATAGTCATGTAATGATGATAAGTCTAAAATAAGCATTCATTAGAATACTCTTTATATGTTACATATTTTCTATGTTTAAACATGCTAGACATAAGAATTGCAAGACAAGCATAGAACCAACTTTATCAGTTAATTAGAACCCATATTAGAAATCTGTATTCTCTAAGAGAGGTGTTAAGTCATGTTAATTCCTCTGCTAGTGGGCACCAGGATTCTCTAGCAGAGGTTTATGTTACCTCAGATTTTCCTTGCTCACTTAGCTACTAAGCTCCTGTTCATTGAGATGGGCACTGAAGACTATCTGTGAAATTTAGTTTGCTCAGTTCCAAGTGCTTAGAGCAATATACACAGATAGTTATAGAGCGGACTAATCAAGTTGTTTTAAGTGATCTTATCTCCTTGAGTATGTTAAATTTCTTCATGATCTTGGGCTCTAATTCTCCTCCTAATTATTCTATAAAATCACATATCTTAAGAATGAGAATTTTTCTCTTTGCCTGGTATACTCTTGTAGCCATCATGTTTCAGTGCCTCTCCTTGTTAAATTCTATGTTTGTTCTGACTTCTGTTATAAAAGCTCTACCATCAGCCAGGTTTTTTTCTCAGCTTTTCTCATTTCTACTGCTTTCCTGGCACTGTACTCATTCTGCCATTAGTGATAAAACTATCTGGATATTTCTACTAGCTTCCAATTTACAGGGAATCTTATGATTCCAGTAATAAATAGCCCATTCTATGGGTGCTGTTTGTTTATTTGTTTGTTTGTTTTTCGGTAGCAGGGGTTGAACTCAGGACTTTGAGCTTGTGAGGCAGGGGCGGTGCACTAAGCCAAATCCCCGGCCCTATGGGTGCTATTTGATTGACTAAACATCCTAATAGCAATGATGTGAAACATTAATTAATATCAGGTAGCTTACTAGGCAGTAGGCTTGATGACCTTATCTTCGTGTTAAAACCTTAATTTGATAAGCAGTTCTATTTAAACTATTAAACTGAGCTAGTTGGTGCTTCATTTGATTCTGACTGCGGCTCAAACAGACCAGGTGCCACAGCTGTTCTGCATCTTCGCTGGCCAGCAGAACACTTGCATGGCAAGTCAGGTGAAGCAACCTAGAGAGCTGCAGTGTCCCATCCAAGGACACAGCCCCAGAGTTCTAGCACTTTCCTTCCCACTGTGGACTGTGATATCCACAGCGGGATGAATATGGCAGAAAAGGAGATGGGGGAGCCAACCAAATATTGGTGGGGCAAACTGAGCAGAAGTATATGCTTTTACTTAATCAGCCATTCTCTCTGGGCTGTTGTCTCCTTGGGCAGGGAGGAGGTGTCCAGCAGTGAACAAGGCCTCTCTTTATTTTGTACTCACAGATCAGGCATTCTTGGCACCTGTGTCTACCACAGAGCCTGCTGCACTTCCCCTGAACCTCACTCCAGCAAGTCAGTTGGCATTTCTTCTGTGGGGGGGAGGTGGGGAAAAGGAGCCATGTACCCAGCACGGAGGTGGCATTTCCCAGACCTGAAGCCACACCAAGGAGTGCCAGCTAGATCCCTGTGGAGACTACTTGCCCCTAGAAGAACTGAATCAAGGATCGCATATTTGGCTGTAAACTTTGGGCTGACCCAAGCTGGGTTTATGGAAGTCTTAATAGGGACACCTGTGGTTATCTTTGTGCTAGGGAATGGATTATCTGCAACCATAGCAATAACAGATCCTGTGACCCTGCGCCTGGTGGGTAAGTCTTTTGGGAAAGTGGGAGAAGGAACCATTATTTATGGAATCAAAATGTGCTCACTAGAAAATCAGATACTTTCAAATAACTAATACTTCATTTTCTGATCACAGAACCTACAAATAAAGGTACCTCTGCTTCACCCTTACTTTTTAACATATGGGTCACAGAAAAATTAATTTTCCTAGAATTAGTTGACTAGAAAGTGGTAAAGTCAAGGCTTAAACACATATCTTTCTGATCTCAAACTTACATGCTTCCACTTGATAAACTGCTTTTTGGGAAGACAGTACTAGATTGAGATAAACTTGTGGCAGACCTACTTTCTGAGTGCATCATGACCTTAATTAGGATATTGTAAACTTGATGTCTTCTGGATTGTTTTTGTGTGTTGTCTTTTTTTCTGGAAAATTATAGGACCTTTCATAGTTCCTTGTGTTTTGAGCTTCATGATATTTCACCTTGTTCTGAGTCTTTCATATATTATCTTGCTCACAGTTTAAGCTTTTAGTTTAGAAGTGTGTATCCTTCATTCAGTTCTTACATTTTATTGAGTTGCTTTATAATTCCCTCCTTACTAGTTCTGTTTGTTCTTTTAAAAATTATTTAAGCAGCTGTTGGATTTTCTATGTTGATATGCTAAATTTTGTGAGTCGTCTTTAATTTTGCATCTTTAAAATCTTTTTCTCTTAAGTTCTCTTCAACATTATCTTCTAGGTGGATTTTTTTAAGTTTCAGCCATTTTATTTCTCAATTTTAAGAGCACTGCTTTGTTGTCTGACCTTTCCTTTTTCATGGCTGCCAGTTCTTGTTTCACAGATGTGGTACTTTCTCTAAGTTTCTTGGTATCTGTATTATTGCTTTCTATTCAAAATATTACTCTGCTCCTTTTGATGTTCCTGTTTCTCCTCTCTGCTTTTCTACCTGTTCTAATTATATTTCTTAAGATAGAGGCATTTCTCAGAGATCTGGGCATTTCTAGCTGTATGTCTGTATTTAAGAATGAGGCATTGAGGAGCTGATGGAAGTGAGGTGGTATGTTTGGCTGCTGGTTTTCCAACAGCAGAGTGGGAAAATGCATGTAATACATGTGAGTGTCAGTCTAGTCTCAGATTTCCTGATGTCTGTAAAAATCTCCTTTGTAGCATGATAGAGATTGCCCGGAATTGTGTGCTGGGTAAGTTAGAACAGTTAGTATTCCTATTTTTGAAATGTGGATTCACTGAAAAAATGCTATTAAAACCAGATTAGTGATACTGTTATTGTGAAGTAGATGAGTCTATAAAGCTGTTTAGATAATGTGTTTTGGATGTTATAGTTTTATATAATTTATCCATTTTGCAAATCATGTTTTAGCTCATGCTACCAATTATGGTATCTGATTCATTTCTCGGTTGCAAAATCAAGGGGCCGGGGATTTAGCTCAGTGGCATAGCACCTGCCTGGCAAGCATGAGGTCCTGAGTGGTCGGTCACTGGTACCAAAAACAAAAAACAAAGCAAGAAAAACATTCAGTACCAAATCAAGTCTCATGTTCTTAAAGACAGTGTAAAACTGGTCAAAATTTAAATTTCTGTTACAGTGTTTGCATTCAAGTTCAAGAAGACTATGTAGAGGTATTTGACCTTGGGCAGATTACTTGAACTCCTTGAATCATTTTCTTCATTAGCAAAAAGATCAAAGACTTGTTGTGAAGGTCAATCAAGACCAAATCTTATAGGGCCAGGGATTTAGATCAGTGGTTCCAGCACCTACCTCGTGAGCACAAGGACCCGAGTTTGATCCCCAGCACCAAAAAAAAAAAAAAAAAAAAAAAA